AAAATGAAGGTTTTTATATCCAAAATAAAATTTTGAATAGACTTTTCGACCAAGTTTCCTTAGAAATTCAAGAAATGCCCAAAAGTTTTAGAAAAGTAAACCCTAATAAAAAATTGATTCTTTGTCAGTCATATACGTAGTCTCCATTGTAAATCGATAAATGAATTGCTTATGGTCGTAATCTAATCCCCAGTCTTGAACTAATCGAAACTATATCGATATAGAAAAGAGTATTTTAGTACTCTTAGTAAATTAACATAATGATTTGAAACGAGTATAAAATTGTTAATCGCACCGAGTCAATAACCATTAATACCTTATCAAATATGACGACGTCATAGTATTCAATTCAGTACAGGTCGAATTTTCTCTAACAAGAGCTCTTTCTGAGAGTTTTATTAGTAAATTCACTATATCAAAAAAATTTTATATAGACTGGCATTGAGCTAAATCTGTCACTTTGTTTTTTCATAACTAAACTTTTCATTTCATTTCCTTTAATGAACTTAACAAGAATTTTAAATTACGATAATAAAAGGACCGTTTAAAAAAAATCAATCCTTGCGCAGTAATTACGCTAAAGTAACAACTCATTAACTATTGCAGTATTGCTTATAACAAAATCTGATCCGGTATAAACCCGTATTATCCAGAATAAATTTCACTATAAATTACCAATCGCTTTATTGAAAGACGTCATTAATACAAATGTTATTATCGAAGTTAAATGAAATGGTATATGCATAAAAAGCTAAAAAAAAATGTGAAATGTTACCGCTATTGATTTTAATTTTCAACTCAGGAAAAATTTCAATCATGAAATAGATTCGTTATATGAGTTCGACAAAACTTCTATCTTTTCGTATCGATCTTTTAAATAAATAAACATCTCCTTTCTTTAAGAAAAAAACAACCCTAAGTTTACGGTTTAGAGCTAAATTCAGCAGTGAAAAATTAATTTGCAACTTGCATCGAGTTCCAAACCAAATTTTTGTGTAAAATTTTGATAATATAAATTAAATGTTAAGTGTTTGACATTAAGGCAAATTAGAGACTTATTGCGAAACCTAGATTCTACTTAATCCCAAATAGTTTGGGTCGCAACTCTATAACCACTACTACCATTAACGGATAAAATTCCTTAAACAAATGAGGATCACTCAATTAATAATTTTTGTTGAGGACGTCGCACCCCATGAGTTACGTATAAATATCATTGATTATTGAATACGTACTGTACATAATCAATTTTTATCATGTATATTAGTAATTCCTTTTGTTGGTAGGTATCGCTATTATTGATTTTGAGATTAATTAAAAGAAATTTATATCTTAGAATTTAAAAAATTCTTTTCGAACAAACATAGGCTCGCATAGCTCAGTTGGTTAGAGCGTGGTGCTAATATTAATTATTGAAACGCCAAGGTCGTGAGTTCGACCCTCACTGTGAGCATTTAATTTTTATTTTACATTTTACATGCTGCGTAAGGGTACCAATTTTATTAGTTATGTAATACTTTAACTTTCTTAGATATTTGCTTGACGGATTGTAAAATGGCCACTGAACAATCCATCATGTATACTTCATTTTCAATTTTCATTTAGTTATTTTTTCATAAAAAACTTAGTAAAGCATTCAAATTTAAAAAACAAAAATTCTCTTATCGTTGTCCCTTACAAATTTCATCACTATTGGTGAAACTGGCACCAGCCTCTCTAGTCACGAGTGATTTGTTATTATACTGTTAAAACCACCCGAGTCTGTTACACTTCACTCGAGTATTTAATTAGTAAAAAAGAAAATTATACGACAAAGGTCCTAAATAATATTAAGTATAGATCTGATCAAAAGATTGCCAAAAACGCGAGTGTCGTCCTTCTCATATCCGCATTGATAATAAAAATCAACACAGGGTTTCACTCTGCCTACTGCCCTAAAATTATTATTAAAAGAATCACGTGAGTTCTATGGGTGCAAAATATAATAACGATAAGGGAGACGATGAAGTAGGAATTGTGATATCCGCGACCCAATGATTGATTTTGGTAGATATTACAATATCTAGCGATTCGACCACAATATGCCTATTTTTTTCTGAAGCTATCTCATGATCTAGCAACCAAATTTGAATGATATTTTAATACCGTTCGATTCGTTTTATTGAGACGAATTGAATGGTGCCAGAATTACTTTGATGTATAATAAATTATTAGCTATAATACTTAACTTCGTCATAATACACTAATCTACCTTACATATTACAAAATATATTGAGTGCCGCAAAGTTTGCGGCACTCATGTGAATAGAAATAACCAGAACCTCCAAAACCAGGTCACATGGCTTTCTTCTATCAATCGTTTTATGTGGCTCAATCGTTTTATGCAGCTTTATATTCGTCGAAGCTGAGACACGAGCCGGTTTTTATAGCCTGGCTAACTCCATGAATAGTAGAACATGGAAATTAAGCGACAATCATAACAAAATTGCTGAATTGCTAACGTCAATTATTATACATTAATCGATATAAAATGATGACTCTTCCGGACTTAAATCACAACGAATCACATATTTAAACTGACGTATATAATGTACGTACATTACATTCAAATCGTTACGAACTGTAAAACTACACACGTAACTATCAACAAACACTTGATGGAGACATCTAACACAACACGTAACTATCAACAAACACTTGATGGAGACATCTAACACAAATAACAATTCACAACTTTATAATCTTGTATTAAATAAGTCGAGTATATATGGGCTAGGTGCTGAGAAAAGGGACCAAATTGACAAAACAAAAGATCTTCGGAAAATCAATTTTTGTATTGTAAATCTTATAATAGATTATAAGAAAAATGAAACTTTAAAGGACTGTACTGCAAAATTTTATTAATGCAGCTACTTTTGTGTTTTAGATAAAAAATGATCCTAATATTATTCTAAATTGATTTATGTAAAAAAATTACTTTTAAAAAAATTGTCAATTTGGTCCCTTTTCCCAGCTCCTAGCCCATATTATATCACATGATAAATCTGATAAACCTCATATTATTCGAAATACAAAGTTTTTAACAATACTGTAGAGTTGGCACTATTTTCAAAAATCATCCTCAATCAGAAACCCATTTTCATCTTATATAAAAAATTTTTCATTCTATTAATGAAATAACTTACCTACATTTGTTTTAATATAAAAAAAAAAAAAAAAAAACCAATGCCATAAAATCATTGATTCTAAAATACTAATTAGATGTTAATGTTTTCTATTTTTTTTTTTTTTTTTTACTACTACACGAAAATAATAAAAAGTAGTTTAAATTCACAAATATGTATAAGGTTGATTGTTATTTTTGATCATCTACTTCTTCAGGTCATCAACTATAATATTATCGGTAGCAGCCTGTTGCATTAAAGTTTCAAGAGATTTTTGAAGTACATCTATTCGTGAATCCATATCTTCCACTTTGAGACATAATAAAAGTCAGTAATGTATTAAAGCTAGCATAAAATAATAATAATATTTAATAAATTAAATTTCATACTTTTATCGACCAATTGCGAGGACAAATCATCAAATTTTGTTTGCTTAATTAATATCCCAATAATGTTATATATTAGTATTTCGTTAAAACCAAATTATACCCGTTCTCTTTATAAATACCAGTTGTCGGAGCATGGTCTCAACCTATTGTAAACAAAAATAATATAAATTAACTAGTTGAAAATTAAGTTTATTATAAATTATTCAATAGAAAAACAGAGGGAAAGAAAAAAAACATACAAATGCAGTCAATTCTTGAGGTGTTTGTATGTCGGAAAAAACAGCATTAGTCTGGTCTGGCTTTGTTAATTCCTGAGAACGTTGAGTTGAAGTGGGTTCTTTGATTAAGGGGGGAGGAGGTGGCGGCGGTGGTGGTGGTATTGAATTAGACATATTTATTTTATAGGACCAACAATTATCGCTATTACTACAAGTCAGTCGTTGTAAGAACTCACAATATAGACCATTCAGGCTATAAAATTCTTGGCTTACGTAGTGGTAGTGAAATTATTAATAAATTTTAGTAAATTGGTCAATATGTATTACATACAAAGCGGAGGTAAATCATGTGATCAACCGCCAATCAAATTATAGAATTTTGATGATCGCCGGCGAAGCAAATCAAAAAAACGGCAGTCTAAACTTACCTCGGGTAGGTTAATCAAAAATGTCGAGAAGGCAATTTTGCTTATATATAACTACCTAAAACCCATCCTAACCCTAATATAAAATGACCTAACCCTAAAGTTAATTGAAAACATTATTAAGAAATATGGGTGCTGCATACTTGAACCGAACCCGAGCACGTTAGAGTTGGGGCAAATTGAACAGGAACTTCAGGAGAGAAACTGCCGAATTAGGGGTCTAAAGCGGGGAAATCATGTGACTATCGACCAATCAAATTATAGAATTTTCTCTAAAAAATACACAAAACAGCAGTTTAAACCAAGCAAAAATATCGAGAAGGCAATTTTGTATATATATAACTATCTAAGACCTAACATAACCCTAATCTAAAATGATCTAACTCTAAAATTAATTTAATAATATTAATTATATAACTTATCTTCGCTTTAAACATCCCTAAGGTTATCCAATCAAATCTCGATATTAAATTTTATTAATTTTATTAAATAAACTAATATTTTAGCAACTGCCTACCCCTTATATACTGTCAACTATCGATATAACAGACACCTTTAGACCGGAATCACCAGTTTAACAGACTAATTACAAGGTACAGAATTTTTTATATAAGGTAAATGAGGGTATTGTGACGAAGGGGGGTATTGTGACGAACTATTAATTTTTTGACTTCCCGTTAATAAAATACCAAATTATATAAATAAAAAATAAACATTCGATCATCTGCATGCGAGTAGCTAATAAAATGCCAAAGAACTTAAATTATTTAGTTTAAAAAATATGTTACTAA